CAAAATCTCATGCATGCTCCCCCCTGGTCTGGCCCAGATCCCCCTTAGTTTGCTCGTGTTTATTTCTATGGAGGTGTTTGTTGATTGGCTTATTCTTTGTTTGCTGTGTATTTCCACTCACCTAAGGTCTTGTAAGCTCCCGCAGAACCGGAACCAGGGGCTGCTGGCACCTTGTCTAGAGGCCAGTGCGGTGCCTGTACTCACAACCAGGACAGCTAGGGGTGGTTGAGGAAGACAAGTGACTATTGAAGTCCATGACCCTCACAACTATGTAAATACCAAATGTTAGGTTAGCTCGCCACTGATCTAGCTGTCTGGTATCATGTAAACAAACCAAAATAGATAAACAAGCCCCAAACAAACCAAAGCCACCTCCTCTCAGACACACTGGTATTTGTCTACATACCACGCTATTTGACTAGACTCTAACACTTCTAGTGAACGCTCAGCTGTTTGAGTGTATAAGACTGTATAACCACCTATGATAGTTTGTTGTCATATCTCAAGTTTGCTACAAGTTGAAGGCCAGTTTACCAAGATCCCGAGCATAAGAAGTCTGGATCCAGGGAATAACAAAGGCAGGACATAAGGCTATTTCGATAATGGGGCATTCAGGGCTGGTGATTAAGATTATAAATCTGGTTAAAAACCAAGAGATTAAAACTGAGTCTGGTCAGCCAGCATAAAAATAATTAGCTCGTAACTGCATTAAAAAGTATCCCAAATTGATAAGATTTCTAGAAATGAGACCTCTGCAACAGGACCTCTAGGAACACAGTGTAGCCTACACAGTACGCTGGTTCACTTCATTTCATTCATTCCTACATTCATGCCGTGGTTCTCAGCACCAACCCGCCCGTCCCTAGAGCTGATGATCCATATCGGCTTTAATTGCGTTTATATTTGTGGGGTGTAACAAGGCATCATCGCCTTTCCTAGATGTGTGAAAGGTATCAAAATACCCTTGGTCTCCCCAACTAAGATCTGTAAGTGGGCAGCAGAAAGTCTGGCATTGCAGACAAGGTCCTGTCAGCAGGGTGGTCCCCGAGGCAGGAGGAGGCAAGGGGCCCAGGGTCCTCTGTAAATCCCACTCACACTCTCGAATTGCTTACTGTGTCCCAGATCTTTCTCTTCAGGGCGATAAGCGCCCCCCCTTCTGTTTCACTGGCCACGCCTTCTTTATCCCAGGGGCCCTTTCAGCAGGGACTTGGACACTGAGCTGCCCTTCTTCCCTAAAATATTAATCACCACAGACACTGTTTGTCCAGACTTAGAAATTTACAAATCTCTTTCACAACGTGTGTCATTCAATCTGCTCCGTAATCCTCGGAGGGGCCCTCCCATTGGGCCCCAGAAGTGTAAGGTGACTTGCCCAAGGTCATGCAGTGGGCGAATGGCAGAACTGGCACTTGAACCAGGTCTCCTGACTCCAATCCCCGTGATGTGCCCACTGCCATAGGCCATCTCTGCAGGATAGTGGTGTGTGTCCGCTTCAGCTTTCCATAGCTGGGACCCTGGTCTGTTCCATCTGAGCTAGCTTGCTTGGTGAGAACCCAGGGCTAATGAGTCCAGGGGTCCAAGTTTGGTTCCAGAACACTTCATGTTGTCCTCTAGTCACTCACTGGCCCTGTCCTACTCTTAGTCATAAGGTGTCCACAGCCCAGGCTGCAGCCTAGGGACATCGATTCCAGTGGTAGAACCATCCCGGAAGCCACTGTGCTGCTGATGGACGGTCGGTAACATTGTCCTGCTAAGGACGGTGCTTGTAGGACTCTGACCGCAGCCACTGAGCACCCCCGATACTGCCGTTATTCTTTTATTAACTTTTGTTTTTAATCTTCACCCGAGGATATTTTTTCCATTTATATTCAGATAAAGTGGGAGGAAGAGAAAGAAAGAGAGAGAGAAAGAGAAACATTGACGTGAGAGAGACACATCAATTCGTCACCTCCCACACGACCCGACCAGAGCCGGGGACCAAATCGCAACCAAGGTACATACCCTTGACCAGAATCAAACCTGAGACTCTGGTCTGCAGGCCAACGCTCTAACCGCTGAACCAAACTGGCCAGGGCTCTTTTATTAACTTTTTAATTGATTTGAGAAAGCGAGAGAGAGAGACATCAATGTGAGAGAGAAACATGGACCGGTTTCCTCCCACACATGCCCCAATCCGTATCAAACCCACAACCCGGGTGTGTGCCTGACCGAAATCGAAACACCACCTTCTGCTGCACGGGAGGGCTCTCCAGCCAGCTGAGCCACACCGGCATGGCACCCCATACTACGTTTAGGTTGGACAACTCGGGCCACCTGCCTTGGACCCCATGCTACAGAGGGCTGCCCTCTGACCTTCCTCGGGCCATTCTCCTTCACATGGGGTGAGACATCTACAGGGCCAAAGGGACGGGCCTATCCAGAGTCCACACCCCTCTTCCAGACCACACTCTGGCTGCCCAGGACCCCGAATTCCCAGCCTCAGTGCGTTCCGCCTCTCACCCGCTCTGTCAGCCTGAGTTGCTGGCCCGAGACTGCTAGGGCCGCGGGTAGGGCGGGAGTCGGGGCGCATGCACACAAGGTTCCCGGGAGAGATGGGGCCAGGGACTGGGGACAAGGAGGGCCAGGTGGTGAGCCAGGACCGCTCTCTGTCCTCACCCTCGGGGTCCCACAAACAGAGGATGGGCTGACAGGGGGTCAGGGAGGCTGGGCCCTCCAGGGGGCTTTCCCCAGAATTGAGGGCCTAGAGACAAGTGGGAAACAAACAGGCCCAGGTTGCTGGGAGAGCGGAGCCTATGGAGCAAACACAAGGCCATTCCCAGGCCAGGAGAAAGGTGCAAAGAGAGCAAGGCCTTCCGAGGGGGCTGACCGCATGTGCAGGGGTCCCGGTTACCCAGGGCAACCCCTGCCCCCCCTGAGGGCCCGGTGACATCCACAGAGATCTTACCAACTGCAGGGACAGGGTGTTGGAACTCCCAGGAATGCCTTTTCAAATCACTGTATGTTTTTGGGGGTGCATAAGAGAAGGTCAATGTCCCACATCGGCAGGAGCTGAGACTGGCAGGCTGCACTCCTGCGTCCCTCTCCTCCTTGCAAAACAGCCCAGAGGAGCAGCAGCAGGAAGGCAAACTCCGGGAGGTAAATAAAAAATAAATAGACATGGAGGATTGGCTGAGAGCCCCTGGGGATTAACTAACTAATTAATCCCCACAACAGTTTGACGAGGAACTAATTAATCCATTAAGCACTTTGAGGGGCCAAAGCCTGGCCAAGTGCAGGAGAGCCTTCCCTGACCTGGGAGGAGACCTGGGAGGGAACCGTGTGAGGGCCAGGCCTGCCAGGCATCCTGGCCTGTGGGCCAGAGCCTGCCTCCCGCTGGTCTAGAGTCCGCCTGTCCGTTACTCTGCCTAGAGAAACAAGCACACCAAGGAGCTGTGTTTCCACTGCGGCCTCCAGCTTCTCGAAGCATCTGCTGAAGAAGTATGGAGCCTGGGACAGTTAGAACGGGAAGGCCCTCGGAGAGCCACTTTACAGAGGGAGGGTCAAGTTTACACAACACCCTGGCTCACCCTGTGGACCTGGAGAGGACCAATGTTTGTTTATGGTTATCTCCACTCAGCACCCAGGCAAGAGGGTGCTCTCTGTAGGTGCTGATTGGACTCCACCTGGGGATGCGACAGGTGTCAAAATCTTTCTAAAACCAAATCAGTGTGGTCTGATTAAGACTAAGATGATCATTTTACCTTTATGAGATTGTCATGCCCTTTGGTGACAAATTCCAGACTGGTCACAACATATCAAGGTGGGCCCTCAAGTCTGCTTAGATCTTTCCTATCATTCATCTTTCTTTCTTTCTTTCTCTCTCTCTCTCTTTTGTTAATCTTCACCCCAGGACATTTTCCCACTGATTTTTAGAGAGAGTGGAAGGAAGGGAGGGAGTAAGAGAGAGAAAAACATCAATGTGTTTTGGCTGCCTCCTGCATGACCCTGACCAGGGCCAGGGATCAAACCTGCAACCAGGCTACATGCCCTTGACCAGGAGTCAAACCCCAAACCCTTCGGTCCGAGCGCCAACACTCTAACCGCTGAGCCAAATCATTCAGGGCTCCTTTGCTTTTCTGATGCTCTCTTTAACCTCATGTGCAACCGGATCTCAGAAAATTATCTTATAGCGGCCATTTGGGAATGTCACCGGCCCTTACCTTTCCCAGAAGAACTTTTTCTCTAGATTCTTCTCTCTCATTACAAAACAAAGGGATTTTTAATACCAGGCAACGTGCTCTTGGGAACTCAGGAACAACCAAGTCTAGAACCACAAGATGAAATTGTGAGGCAAACTGTGGCCAGACATTCGGGGTGCTGAGTGGGAGTCAGACTTGTTTTCAGGTGCCAAGGATGGGAAAGCGGAAGTTGACATGACGTGGCGCCCACCAGGGATGGGAGGGACCATAGTTAAGCTGAAGCTGCCACTCAAGAGTGATGACTAAAGTGTGGGAGCACTGTCAGGGAGTCCAAACCCCACCTCCAGAATCAGATCAGGGAGGGCCACCAAGTCACAACCTGGGCTGCTAGACAGCAAAGCTCACAGAGGCCGGACTGGTGCGGGATTCTCAAGCTTTGCATCATCAGCATAGCAGGTAGGGTTTTTAAACACAGCTGCTGTGCCCATCAGTGAGTGTCTGATTCCATAGGTCTGGGGTGGGGCCGAAAAATGTGTCTTTCTAACACATTCCTAGATGATGTTGAGGCTGCTGGGTCCAGGGACCACACTTGGAAAACCACTGTGCTAGAGGTTCTGATCCACCCAAGTGTACTGAAAGAGGGTCTCAACCAGGACCCCCCGCCTCCATGACGGCTACCAGGCCCAGGATCCACTGAGAGACAGCCAAGCATGCCATTCCCTTCATCCCTCCACAGACTCGTTTTCCTGCTGCTCTGTGTGTGTGTGTGTGTGTGTGTTTGTGGAGAGTGGTCTCTATCTCTGCATTTGTTTTTCCACATAGAGCGAGATGGATGAGAACCAACTCCAGATGGCTGGAGATGAAGTGGATTTGCCCGAAGATCTCCGGAAAATGGTAGATGAAGATCACGAAGAAGAAGAAGAAAAGGATTCTATTCTCGGGCAGTTACAGAATCTTCAGAACATAGACTTGGACACCATAAAAGAAAAAGCCCAGGTCACGTTCACAGAAATCAAGCAGACAGCAGAGCAGAAGTGTTCTGTGATGTGAGGGGCGGGCACAGGTGCAGGAGGGGACCAGGTCAAGGCAGAGGGGACCAGGTCGAGGTGGAGGGGACCACTCTCCTATGGAAAGTCTTGAGTAGCAAATACTTCAATGCAGTGAACGAGGTTAGAAAAACTATGATGACAAACCTATATGAACAGGTAGACAAGTTGATGTTCTAACTGTTCCTGGTAGGACATTTAGCTAGCCCCTGCCAGCGGAAATGACACCCCCCCCCCCCCCCGCTTCCTTCTAGCTCTTACAATGGCTGAGCATGGAATTTCAGCCATGCACAAAGCAGAACACGCATCTGCTGAAAGATCTTCAGGAAAAGCCAGAAAGAAGCAAAAGCAAATGGATTTCCTTCGGCTTCCTTCCTTAGAGGGCAAGGTCTCACCTTGTCCAATCATTAGCATGACTTCAGGCCCCTTCAGAGAAAGATGTGGAAGGTCAGGTGCCTCCAGGACCCTGGGCTGCAGACTCACCGGCAAGCAAAGATCACACCACCGAGACTCCCAGGCTCCTTGACATCGTTGATGCTTCTCATCAAGTGTGGCACTTGGACAGTTCAAAACCAAGGGACAGGAGTGGGGAAGTGGTAAAAGGCGAGGAATGGAGGCAGAGAACAGACTTCATCTGCCTCTAGCCTTGTAGAGCATCATTCTAGAGGCCATGTGAAGAATGGACTTGGGGTGTAACTAGAGGCAGGGAGGCAACCAGGAAGGTCATCCCTGTTTCTGCATTCAGAGTTACCTCCTTGTGTCCGAACTTGGTGATAGCAACGAGAAGGGGGGGTGGGTGACACATAGAGCACTGAGAAGTTAAATCAGTCTCTCTCTGTCTCTCTCTCTCTCTCTATCTACCCCCCTTTCTCTCTCCTCCTTTCTTCTCTTCTTGTCCCCTCTTCCTACCTTTCCTTTTTCCTCTCCCATCTCTCCCCTTCAGACTAGCTTCCAATAAATCATGTTGTCATTCTGTCCCACAGTCTCCAGGGTACACACAGATTTCCTTTCCCTAACATTTGCTCTCTTTCAAAGGGAATTATCCAAAAGACTTAGAACATTTACCTCTAAAACACGTAGAGCCGTTTAATCAAAGCCAACCAAACCAACACAAATACTGGTTTTTCGTTTTTCTTTTCCTTTTTCATCCTCACCAGAGGACATTTTTGCATTTATCTTCAGATAGAACAGGAGGGAGAGAGGGAGGGAGAGAGAGAGAAACATCGATGTGAGAGAGACACATGGAGTGGCTGCCACACACACGACCCCAGCTGGGGCCAGAGACAAACCACAACCGAGGTACGTGCCCTTAGTGGGAATCGAACCCTGGACTCTCTGGTCTGCGGGCTGACGCTCCAACCACTGAGCCAAACAGGCCAGGGCCAAATACTGGTTTTTCAATGCATGTTCATAGAATAGATAATTCTCAAAGAGAGGTTTTAATCAAGATCTGCTCTATTGGAGGAAAGAGAACTGAGAGCAGAAAGTTAGGGGCTAATCTGCTCCTTATACAGATTTCCTGAACGTGTTGTGTAAGGAGCTTCATGATATAAAAATATGTAAATAAAACAAATGATTAGGGGCCCAGAACCATCCATCTCAGTCCTTTTCCTTCTTCCCCAGCTCAAACTTTGTACTCATTAAACACTAACTCTCCATTTCTTCTTGTCCCCAGCCAGGCAACCCCCATTCTACTTGCAGCCTCTGAATTTCACGCCTGTAGGAACCTCATATGAATGGATCATACAGTATTTGTCCTTTCACGCCTGGCTTATTCACTTAGCATAGTGTCCTCAAGGTTCATATCTGCTGTAGCATATGTCATCATTTTGTTCCTTTTAAGGCTGAGTAATATTTCATTGGCTCTCTATATATCACATTTTGTTTGCTCATTCATCCATCCATGGACACTTGGGTTACTTTCACCTTCTGACTATTGTGAATACAACTACTATGAACATGAGTGTATAAATATCTATTCTAGTCCCTGCTTAATTTTTTCAATGAAATTGGGTGGAATTCCACCCAGAATTGGAATTGCTGGATCATCCTTAGGTTTTTGTCTACATTAGAAATAGCAGTCTGAATACAAACAAATATTTAATGTAAAACTGTAATTGAAAAATAAAAATGTAAATATATATAAAATTAGAAATATTAAAACATTTGAATATATACTTCTAAAGTAGCAGTAAGTCAAAAAGATATCATGCCCAGCTGGTGTGGCTCAGTGGTTGAGCATCAACCCATGCACCAAGAGGTTGCTGGCTCAATTCCTGGTCAGGGCACATGCCCAGGTTGCAGGCTCGATCCCCAGCACAGGGTGTGCAGGAAGCAGCTGATTTCATCAATGTTTCTATCTCTCTCCCCCTCTCCCTTCCTCTCTCTGAATTGTTGGCAGAGTTTTATTTATTGAACTTTCTACAGGGCTGGCTACATAATTTGTGGGGCCCAGTGCAAAATGAAAAGGTTGTTGAAAAGCAATTATGAATTTTAAGATTGACAGAAAAGCATTAAACTAAGGATAGGAACCTTCTAAGGGTGTTGCAACTCCCATAAAGCTGATCTTGCCTCTCTGTTCATTTTGTAATAACTCTTAGAGGTGTAATTTATGTTTTAGTCACTTTTCTCTATGTGTGCGATCCTTCACAATAAATAAATATTCTTCACCTGAAGATATGTTTTTATTGATTTTTAGAGAGAGAGGAAGGGAAAGAGGGAGAGAGAGAAACACTGACGTGAAAGAGAAACACGGATCGGTTGCTTCCCCTACGCTCCCCAACCGGGGATCAAACCTGCAACCTGGGTATGTGCCCTGACCAAGAATCAAACCCAAGACCCTTCGGTTCACAGGACAACGCTCCAACCAACTGAGCCACAACAGCCAGGGTATAAATTACATTTTAAAAAAATAAAGCCATTTGGGGAACTACAAACATTATGCTTGGAGTTGCTGCTAAGGTTTCAGTACAGATGCCAGAAAAAAAAGGGTCTCACACTTTCTGTGTGTCCGACGGCGGCAGCCAAGATTGAATGGGAGAATACAGTAAAAAAAAAAATTATGCTTGGAGAATGTTATAAAAGTAGGTACTATACAAATCAAATTCAGATTCAGAAATCTTGTAAATTTTTTGCCTTTTAAAAAACCTTTGATTATGGAAAAATTCCAAACATTACCAAAAGTAGAAATATAACAAATCCACATGTACCCAAGTTTCGCTTCTTTGCCCTAAAGTACTGCTATCTTTCTAACCCTAGATTGTTACGACTTTATCTATAAACTGACAGCGTTGTTCTGGGATGGTGTCTAAATCTTGGTTCTACAGAAATGTATCATCCCTGTACCAGTCAACGCTTGCTAGTTTTCTTACATCATTTCAGAAAACCTTCAATGCTGCCAATGTTGTGTTTCTTTAACTTACAACGCACACACCCTGCAGTAAGTGTGGTAAGCTCCTGACATTTGAATGAAGACACTTCGTGGGAGCATCCTGAGAACCTTATTGAAAGCATCTGGTGGTTAAAGGGGCTAATTAGTTGGGTCAGGACATATAAGATCAGCATTTTTAGGGATTAAAGGGTCAAAGGAGAAGGTACAATAAAAATTGACAAACAAATGTCTAGAAAATTGCTGTTAACTGTAAAAGTAAACTAAAGCTATTAGTCTGCAGCAGAGTTGCAGACTTTGGGAAAAGAACGGCATTCCCTACGAGGGTGCATCCATCTCGCTCCGAGAGGAGAGCTGGGATCTGAGCGCGCAGGGCCCCATGCTCTGCCAACTCTCACATCAAAGGCAGTGGAGGAAACCCCAGCCAGCACTGACGATAATGAGACTGGGGTAGACGGAACTGGCATTTGAAAACGATCAAATTATTTCTGTGGACTATTTGGGAAGAAAAGCAAAGCAGTCTGACGTTTTCCAAACACCTGGGAAAGAATGCATCTTGTAGAAAAAATCCAGATGGTGGACTACAAGAATGAAAAATGTACAATCCTGTTAATTAACAGCTGTGTGACATTAGACACATCACTTAACCTGTCTCCTCATCTGTGAAATAGAGTTCCTTGCAGTTATTCATTGAATCAACCACCACTATGTGCAACATTTGTTCTCGGGGCCAGTGGAAAAGTTCCTGTTCTCATGCAGCTTAGATTCTAGTGAAGGTAGATGGATTACAAACAAGTAAACCAATAATAAGAAAATCGTTTTGGAGAGTGGAAGGTTCAATGAGAAAAATAAAATGACAAGAAGGATCATGTGAACATCTGGGGGCAGGCATTTCAGGCAGTGGGAATAGTCTGTGTAAAGGTCCTGAGGCAGGAAGGCGCCTAGAAGATTTCAAGAAGAGAAAAAAGGTCAGTGTGGCTACACCTCAGTGAGCAAGTTGGAGCAGACAGGAGAGTAGCCAGAAGTGTTCAATGGGGCTATCTAAGAAGCGGGGAAGGGGGAAGTCTTACCGAGCAGTGTCACAGTAAGCCATCGGAGGTTTTTTGCAGGGAGTGGCATGATCTGACTTACATTTTTGAAAGATTATCTGGCTGCTGAATGGAAAGTGGAGAGTAGGGAGCTAAGAGTAGCAGGAAGGAAACCAGTTTGAAGGCTAATTCAGTCATCTGTCCAAGCAAGATAGGACGATGGCCCACATTGTGGTAAAAAGTGGAGAGGAGTGTCCAGATAGGAGAAATATTCCCAAAATACAGCCAAAGGGGTACACTGAATGTGGGTGGTGTGGGAAAGAAAGCATTGTAATAACACAGACCTCACAGGGTCCTGTGAAAACAAAATGAGAATTGGCTCTCTAATTATTATTATTATTATTATTTCCAAAAAAAAGAGAAGAGAAGAATCCTGAAGATGAGCAAACTCTAAGGAGTGGGGTCGAGGCTGATCCCTGGATTTGGCCTCTTGGCACTCTGAGAGGATTGACTGGCTTCAAGACCATCATCCCCTCCAGATAAACGTCTCTTGTGCTTCCCCTAGACACTCTGAATTCAATTAGTTTAATTAGAAAACAAGTAAAGAGGAATTATCTTAATATAGCTTTGCTCCTAGCAACTCCAAAAAAAAGCTTACTTCTTTGGCAGGAACCCAAGCTTCCCTCTTTTATTTGCATATTCTGAGATCATGATGTAAATGTTCCTTTTTTTTTTTTTGGCAAAAAGATAGACATCTTATCCAATAGATCATACGTTAGTCTTAATAATAATACTTCCTGATTTTTTTCATTCT